TTGCCAGCATGGAACCCGCATTCAAAATGCTACGTGTGCTTAGACTGCGTGCGGGGTTCGGTGTTTGCCGGGTAGGCGTTTGTGTCGCGCGCAGTTATCTAACATGAACAAATTTTACTTTCTGTATGATGTTCTCCAAGCTAGTTTGTAATTTCAGACATTGTTTTGATAACCACGAGTTGAGTCTGAGAGACTAGATCGGTTTCTGTAGCAACCGTGACGCTATATCCAAACGTTCGCTACATTGTTTCCCATTGCGTTCACGTGGTACTTGTCTGTTTACCGCCCAAGATTCCCACCAAAGTTCTGCCTCGTGTTAGTCGCGTGTCACTCCTAATATGGAATGACAGCGCTATGTTTCGTTTGTATGCGCCAATCATTAGCGTTGTTTTATTTTCGGAACGTTTTGACATGATATATTCTAGAGTACAAACACGTGTTTGGCTCTTCTCCGATTAGCTGTCACCGAGACAAATGCCGCTCTAATGTTGACAATTACATTAACCAGGCAAAGCGCTGTCGTGAGAAGTCCGATTCAGGCCGTCGCTGTAATTCCTTCTATGGTAGCTTCGCAACTTGATGCTCGTTATGCACACCCTCTTTTCTATGCTCTCTACGATGTCAACTCCTCATGGAGCTATTATTTAACGATCTATATTTTATACCAAGAAGTATTTGCTGTACAACGTATTGATGTTCATGTTGAGTACAAATAAACCAATTTGAATTATATCTCACGTCTGTTCAACTCAAGAAAACACAACGCAATCGATGTCCGTTTCAATAACAATTCCGCATGATTAGTCAGTTCGTTTTATGTGACGAAAAGAACACCCCAACGCCTAGTTTTGCGATATAAACTTATCCACCACATAAATTTGGTGCCGAGACCAGGATATTCAATACTGATTCATCATGCCTCGAAGAATCCTGAACAAAGCAATAGATAGACTGAACAAAGTTGTGACTCAATTAAATATCGCGTTGACACTTGCTGAGGATAGAATCCAAGACTTTGAAGTCACTGACAACAAATCTGAAGTATATCGGCTGATCAAAGTAAGCATACTAGCACTTGACAATCGTATCTCAAACTTACAAAAGGCCTGCGACGAAGTCAGAAATTATGCCGATGTTCTGGACGCAGAGTTTACGGAAACTGAAGAAATCGAACTCAAATTACTAGAGAGGTTTAGTTCGATCAATTTATTCCTGACAGAAAACAAGCCAGCGAAGCAAGAAATACATCCAGTCCCACAACTTGGTCAACACGAAGTAAATCAACAACCAATCCCTCCAGATGATCAACAAGCACCGGTCCAACAGCTCGTACTGCCGCCGACACCTCAAGTCGTACCGCCGCCGACACCTCAAGTCGTACCGCCGCCGACACCTCAAGTCGCACTGCCGCCGACACCTCAAGTCGCACTGCCGCCGACACCTCAAGTCGCACTGCCGCCGACACCTCAAATCGTGCTGCCGCCGACACCTCAAGTCGCGCCCCCAGTACCGACGTTTCAAGTCGCGTTTCAACCACCTGTACAACAGTTCGATCAACCCGCTAATGCACCAGTGCCTCAAGTAGAAGTTACACAAAATAACTTTTTGAACAATTCAATTCCAACAGCTCATATTTCAGGTATGAATCCACAATACACTCAATTTAATTCTGTTCAATTGCCACGTATTGATTTGCCCGTCTATTCAGGCGAGTATACGGGGTGGGCTGAATTTTGGGATATGTTCAATGCTGCTGTAGGTTTAAATCCACAACTTAGTCCTATAATCAAATTTGCTTATTTGAAAAGGTCGTTAGAGGGGGAGGCTCTAGAAGTAATAACCGGCTTAGATCTTACTATAGTAAATTACAGTTTGGCACTCCAGCTTTTGACCGAACGATTCGGCCAGCCACATCAAATTATCGCTGCTCACATGCGTGCATTACGCACAGCAGACGCACCCAATTATGATGCCAATTCTTTACGGAAATATCATGATACCCTGGAAAAGCACATCAGGGCACTTCGTTTATTAGGTGTACCAGAGGCGGGCTATGAGAAACTCCTCATACCCATGATACTGGATACATTCCCAATTCAATTTCAACAAAGTTTAGCGCGATCCAACCCAAGCGGGGAATGGACATTAGTCACACTCAGTCAGCACATGTTACACGAGGTTAAAATCCTCGCCATAGGACAGGTAGATTACGACACAAACCCTTCAGCAATACATGCTTTCACCCAGAGTACACATGACTCAACACAGTTCAAGTCCAAACGATATGGGCGTCGTAATTACAATAATACTGACAAATCTTACAGTGGTACCACATATTCTGATCAACAGAAACAAAACCATGTCACACAAACTGATCACACTCATGGTAGAACACAAATTGGTGACAGAACCCCACATTGCATATACTGCAAAGGCAAGCATTACACCACAAATTGTACAAATATTTCAACTAGGAAGGATCGAGTCGAATTTATTACCCAAAATAAACGATGCTTTAATTGTTTGGGAAAGCACATGTTGTCTCAATGTAAGTCGCATTTCACTTGCCGTGTTTGTAAGAGTAAACATCATACGTCAATTCATTTTGATAAATCTGGAACTGCGCAAACAAATTCAACGAATTCTAGCACGGCAAACTCGCATTTTTCACATTCAGCAAATACTGGTGAACAATCGCGTTTTACCGGGAGTGACTCAAAAATTAACTCTGACAGTCCGCGACGCGCAATGCTTCAAACCGCACGAGTTAGTACGCATTTTCGAGGTACTAACTGTGTTGCTACCCTTCTATTTGACAATGGCAGTGATAGAAGCTTTGTCACAAACTCTTTCGCACGTAAACTAGGTGTAATCCCAAATTATAACGAATTATTGAGTCTGAATTCGTTCTCCAATCCGCGTTCCGGTGTGCAGTCCATACCGAGAACCACGCTGTCACTACAAAGCAAAGGTGGCATTAAATCCCCGATCGATGTACTGATGGTCGACTGTATTTCCGAGGGATTGGAGAACACTGTAACTTACGATATTGCACGTTTGCCACATTTGAGAGGTCTATCGTTGGCCTATCCGCCGTCAAATCGATCCACATTAAACATCGATATTCTGATAGGCGCCGATCACTATTGGGATTTTGTTACACACAACTCACACATAGTTAGGGGCAAACCAAACGCTATACCGACTGTCTTTGGGTACCTATTGTCAGGGCCTTTCACTACACACAACAGGACAAACAAAACAAATTCATTCACCATTGCTTCTATCAGAGCACATGACAGTGTAATGGATAAAATGATTGCTAGTTACTGGGACCTGGAGTCAGTGGGTGTTAAAGATACGATTACAAGACGACAGGCACTCAACATTACACATGAACAACAATACAAAGAATATACCGAAAAATCCAAAATTGAAAATAATATTTCGACCCCAAAAGTGTCCGAGAAATGTGCCCAGTGTCCGACCACTGGTACGAGTGACACCGTTAGCGATCGACCGCTACTTTGTACGCCCCCAAGTCAATCCAGAGGACATGTCAATTCGGAGAACGAAATTAGTCCTCATTTCCATAAATCAGCAGAAGATTTCATAAAAACTGCTGAAACAGTGTCAGGAGATATCATCGATACAAACCGCGAACCTCCTGAGCTACAAAACTCCAAAATTAATGATCAGATCGTTTCGTTACATGTCGCCTCTGAATCTGACAATTTACTCGGCCACCATTTTGAACTTCACAATGAGCCAAACATCGCACCGAAGGAGATTATTCACGCAACTGAATCAAACTCAGAACCTAGTCTTGAAAAGATTATCGATATTCGCCGTTTCAACGATCTACATCGTCTGTTGAAAGCAACTGCTTATATATTTCGTTTCATTTCGAAACTCAAATCCAAATTGAACCACACTCCGAGTAATTTGTCAAGTAGCCCTGAGTACAGTCCTGTAGGTTGGCCTTCTTCCGCTGATCATTCGGTCCCCACAGTCCTGAGAAGTCGCATAGACTGAGGATTCGACACCCGCCTACAAATTTATGGCGGCGAGCCTTTCTGCAGTTTTCATGATTGTAATCAGCCAAAACTTAGATCGATCAATCTAGCGAGCATAAATACCTTTTTTGTAGCGGAAAAATGAACCTACAGTACTGCAACCTTGACGAAAGCTAGTTTTACGCAACGAAACGACTTTTTGTTTACAAATGCGTCGCCATTTTGTTGTTCGAGATTACCAACAATGCTTTGCGTGACAACTCATTGAACAAAAGCGCATCGGCGTCAAAGTTGTGTCGTTTGGATTTTTTTGTAGGCCAACAAACATTGTATTTCTTAATTTTGTTGTTATTGTATGCCAATAAATGATAATTTAATATATTTAATGTCTTTTTCATGTACACAAATTACATTTAAAATTTCTATTTATAATTTAATTTTATAATAAGCATGTCATAATTTCCCAGCATTCCCTGGTTGCTAAGAGTTTATAATCATGGACGAGTTAAAATGCATTCATTGTAACTCAGAATTTCAAAAAAAGCTTAAAGGCTATAAACGGCAATCGATAGATGCCAAATTGCCTTCATTAGAAGATACTGCTGGTGATGTTTTGAAAAGAGAATACAATGTCATTGTCACACCAGGTAAAAAAAAATATCTGTGTTTGAATTGTTCTTTGAATTTGAAAAAAATTCAAAGTGCCAAAACACTCTACCAAAATTCTACAGGAATGTTTTTAAAAACTAAAAACAAGGAGGGCTATATTGCCCACAAAATCCTTTCACCACAGACACCTAGCACACCCCGGCCAGCGAAGAGAACCAAGATAAGCACACCAGTAAAGAAAAAATGTGTTTCGGTTCGTAGATCAAATAATGTGGTAAGTTATTATTTATTACTATTTTTATTTGTATTGTCAACATGAAAGTTAATTATTTACAGATATAAATAAACTAGATATTATATATTGGCACAACATATATATGTATAGATGAAAATATTTTAAGTTTCTCAGTTCCTAAGTTAATAATTGTGATTTTATTTTTGCTTTGCAGTATTCATTCAGATCAACAGCAATCAAAGCCATTAAGCAATCAAAATATAAGTGGGCATTTAATGCCTTGATTAACAACAGTAAGGTAGCAAAAAATGCTTTCCATTCTGTCGTTTATGATTTAGTGAAGCGAGAAGTTTGGCGTTATTGCAAGGGAGAAAGGCTAACTTCCAGATTGGTAACGCTTGAAAATCTGGAAAAATTTGATTGGAAAGATGTGGTAAATGAAGTCAAAAACCTACTTCCAACTGTCTACCACACATTATCATCTTTGTTGACAACACGAAAATCAGAGCAACACGGAATTTTGTAAGTATCATTTTTTATTTAAGTGTCAAAATGTAGTGTATTATAATTTCAGTGTAATTATATAACATAATTTTCTAGAATAGTCTCCTATAGCTTCATTCACTTCAGATTTTATGGTACACTATGGGATGTATAAACAATACCATATTACAAGAGCATGGTGCGTATTAAACTCCTTTACATAATATGGAGTTACATGATGTAATGCTGTGATTTGCTGTTTTTGTTTTCACCCTATGAAATATTAGTGTTGTTTTTTAGGAAGAGGGCAAGTTTCCTGTTATAAATTCTTTTGTTAAATTTTTATTCAATTCTGTTTTTTTATGGTCAATTCCTAAATGCTCCAATGTTTCTAACATTCCACTATATTTTATATTTTAACTTATCTGAATTAATTTCATAATATTCTTCATTTGTCAAAAGGAAAGCCAATGGAAAATCTGGTCCATTAGCAGCGCAGTTTGGATCTATGGTATCTATAGGATTGCATATCAGAAAACCAAGAAAATTTAAATTCCTTGCTTCCGTAAATGCAGTGGAGATGTGGCGATGTGGATGTAGTGAAAGGGTATGTTTTACAAGTGGATGATATTGATATCATTGTTGACAAAGAGTAGCCCAACATAATGGTTTGAGTGAGACCATGTTGAGGTGATTTTCCATGGTAATTGGTATTCAGGTATTTTCTATGAATATAATATTAAATACTACCAAATCTTTTTTCATGCACAATTGATACTATAATAACAAATTTATACACTTTCAGCTTTTCCAGTGTTTCAGCAATATGGGGATAAGCTTGACAAAGGCTGGAGGCAGGGGAGTTGTTGACAGGCTAAGGGCTGGTTATGATAAGGAAATTCTTCTTTGGAAAGAAGAAATAGCATCAAAGGTAATACAACCCAAAGTACAAAAGTATAGGAGTGATGCTAAGGCACACAGACTATGAGTTGCAATTACTATACTATACTTCATTTCATGTTGATGCATTTTAGGCCAATAAAAACTATTCCTAGTCTTTTTAACCATTTATATATTTCATGTTAAATGTTCCCTTATAGATGTTTGTTATTTAATATATACATATTCAGTGTATTTAGATACATTTTTATTAATCTTACAGTTACAGCCAGCTCAAAATGCAGTATCAAATGTAGCCCGTCAACTATTCAGTGATACATGCAACATACAATTTGACAGTGACAGTTGGAGTTCTGATGCTGATACCAGCTTTGAAGAAATGACATTACAGTGTGGGCTAGATGTTGACACTGGTCATGGTGGTAGAAGTGGTGATACTGGTTATGGTACTACAGCTGGTTACACTGGTCCAAGTGGTGACATTGGTCACGGTACTACAGTTGGTTACACTGGTCCAAGTGGTGACATTGGTCACGGTTCCACAGTTGGTTACACTGGTCCAAGTGGTGACATTGGTCACGGTTCCACAGTTGGTTACACTGGTCCAAGTGGTGACATTGATCACGGTTCTACAGTTGGTTACACTGGGCCAAGTGGTGACATTGGTCACGGTTCCACAGTTGGTTACGCTGGTCCAAGTGGTGACATTGGTCACGGTTCTACAGTTGGTTACACTGGTCCAAGTGGTGACATTGGTCACGGTTCTACAGTTGGTTACACTGGTCCAAGTGGTGACATTGGTCACGGTTCCACAGTTGGTTACACTTGTCCAAGTGGTGACATTGGTCACGGTTCCACAGTTGGTTACACTGGTCCAAGTGGTGACATTGGTCACGGTTCCACAGTTGGTTACACTGGTCCAAGTGGTGACATTGGTCACGGTTCTACAGTTGGTTACACTGGTCCAAGTGGTGACATTGGTCACGGTTCCACAGTTAGTTACACTGGTCCAAGTGGTGACATTAGTCACGGTTACACAGTTGGTTACACTGGTCCAAGTGGTGACATTAGTCACGGTTCCACAGTTGGTTACACTGGTCCAAGTGGTGACATTGGTCACGGTTCCACAGTTGGTTACACTGGTCCAAGTGGTGACATTGGTCACGGTTCTACAGTTGGTTACACTGGTCCAAGTGGTGACATCGGTCACGGTTCTACAGTTAGTTACACTGGTCCAAGTGGTGACATTGGTCACGGTTCTACAGTTAGTTACACTGATCCAAGTGGTGACATTGGTCACGGTTCTACAGTTGGTTACACTGGTCCAAGTTGTGACATTGGTCACGGTTCCACAGTTGGTTACACTGGTCCAAGTGGTGACATTGGTCACGGTTCCACAGTTGGTTACACTGGTACAAGTGGTGACATTGGTCACGGTTCTACAGTTGGTTACACTGGTCCAAGTGGTGACATTGGTCACGGTTCCACAGTTGGTTACACTGGTCCAAGTGGTGATATTGGTCACGGTTCTACAGCTGGTTACACTGGTCCAAGTGGTACAGGGTGTGATATTGATATAATTGAAATGGAAATATCTGAAACATCTCAAGTTAGGAAAAGTAAGTTATGATGCTGATTAATAACTGTACCTTTTAATAGTAATTAAAGTTAGTGGTTGTATCCCCACACATGTGTGAAATATGTTTGACAAACACTGAATTTTCTACAACAGAATGTGTTTTCTAAATTAATAGCATTTGTAACTGAGATTTTTTGAATTTGTTGCAAATACTGACTTTCACTCCTTGGCATCCAGTCATTTGAGAAATTGTCCATAGTGTAATATCGGTAGTGTTATTTTTTTTCTCATGTGTAAACAAACATCACCCTTTAAATTTGTATGTGCTCATTTTTTAATAACAGTCTTCTGAAATAATATTTTTTTTCTAGATCCAGGTTATTCACTGGCATGGGATAATGTTCAGATACAGAGTACTGCTCATTATCAATCCACTACTAATCAGAACAAAATGCTGATGTGGGCTAATGCCTATGCTGCAAAAAATAGAATATCTTACTCTCATGAAGAAGATAAAACCACAGTCAGTGCAAAAGACCTTTCATTCCAGATCTATATTCCATCACAGAGAATGATAGATTCACACAGAAAAAGAATGAAAACTATTGTTTCCAGAATAATTTGTGAAAACCTTTCTCACTTCAATAAATATTATTCTGACTGCGTAGAAGTCCATATTGAACATGAATATTCTGAGGAATCAGCTAAAAGAAGTGAACTGGTAAGTATAGTACAAAGTTTTGTGTGAATCAACTGTGTTTATACTGCTATGACAGCATTTTACCAAGTTACACAAATACATCAAATATGAATTGTACATAATTTGTTTTATCAAATTTCAAGGTAAACCTGGGAGTGATTCAAGAAAATCCTTCTTCTCTATCTGGTGTAATAGCCATATTGGACCATCTTTATACATATGTTCCTGTTAATGGTGATCAAACACATGTTTTAATGTGTCATGGTGATGGATTGAGTGTGGAAAGGCACATTGATGCTCATAGAACCCGGGCTGGATGCACAACAACAAAGGGAAGACTACAAGGACTGGAACCTGTTTCACAGGAGTTCCACAAAAGGGGTATTATCTTGCAAGTAAGTGTAATATTCTAGTGTTTGTCATATCAATATGTTTATGTAAATATTAAAATATTGGTCAACATCTATATAATTATAATTATATAACATCTATATAATCTATAATTATAGTTAAGGGTGTATAGGTAAAACACAGTGACACCAATTAATTATTACTCAAACTTTGTAATTTGTCTTTAATTACAGGACATCATGAATGAGTTTTTCCTTGGGAAAAGTGCGTCAAATAGAGGGACCTTGACTCACATCAAAAACAAATTTAGACATCGAAATGTCAAGAAGAAAGTAATGGATTCCTTCAACCATGTAGCAAACTTCCTATCATTTGTGACATCTGGCTTGGTTTGCCTTCTTGTTATGAAGAAACTTGGTTTGTCTTCATTAAAAGGAAAGCCAGGAAATTCTGTATACAATGGCACCATTGAGGAGAGAACAGAGTTTCTTGACCAACTCGCCAATGAAGTTGTTGATGAAGTGTGGTTAATGAAAGACACGTCAGTACTAGAAGATATTGTTACAGGTACAGGTAGTGATGCAGGTGGTGATGGTTGTTTTAATGCAACTGGTGATAATGATGTAGGTGATGATTCTGGTATACATGAAGAGGAGGAGGAAGAGGAAGAGGACTACCCATACTGTTTATGTGGAGAAGGTAATAATACAAGTACTAATAATATTAAGCTTCATGGATAGAATACAATAAAAAAATACTACAAACTCACTAAATTATATTAGGTAATTTTTTTTGGATTACAATATTAGAATCCATATCTTGTTTGATCCATATGTCACAGAGCAAAATTTTGAGTAGTAGTGAGTAAATAATCTCGCCATAACAAACTGAAATTGCCAATTTTGACCTGATATTATTGTATCTCAAATAATTATCCGGTAACCATAATTATTTTTGGTATCCTGATTGTGTGAACTCATGCTAATGAAAATGTGACATAAACGTTCTGCTCATGTCTTTTTGAGTCTTTTTTGTCAACAAATCTATTGTTACTTCATGCTTCCAATATCATGTATTATAATATATACCCTGTTGGTTTCCTATATCTATATGTGTCTACATCTGAGTAATGATGTACTTTGATAAAAATGCATATTATTACATATTTTAAATGTTCAAGATATTGGAGGTATGATGGTTGAATGCTGTAATGGTGGATGTGGTAATGGAGATTGGTTTCACTTAAAATGTGTAGAACTGACTGAACACACAGTGCCTGCAGATGATGCAGATTGGTTTTGTTCAGAGACATGTTCAGGTACTTACACATATCATACATTGATCAAATTGATCTATTTGACATCTGCATCTTGGACATACATGGACAAATAATGTTCTCACATTTTGGTGTATATTTATGCACTTACAATGTATATTCTAATCATCAAAAGCAAGTATGGATCTCAGTCATGTATGGACAGTTTTCATTTAAACTTGGTTGATTGAATGGACATTTAAATCTTGTGCACATACGTTACTATGTTTTGCAGATCACATTTAAAATGGAACAATAGTGGCCGTGCCCTGTTTGGACTTACATATGTACTCCGAAAACAGGGATTTGTTCTCTGTGTGTCTGTCTGTGTATCCTCACATATATCCCAGCCTTGGCCAATAACATTTAACACACAGCTCAAAAAATTCTCACATATATGTACATATGAAATTCTGTATAAAAGTCAATTTTTATTTTCATGTTTTTTCATAGCACAAAAACTACCACGTACAACAGCATCCTGCTGTTGCAAGAACAGAAATCATGATCATGTACAGACTTATACTTGCGCCTTGTTGTGGCGTTGCCTTAGTGATTTGACAAGGAGGGATGCAATCAGAGAAAATGATGGGGAAGCAATGCTGGACCACTGGACATTTGACATGTTAGATTTCTGGGAAAGAAATCATAATAAATACATGATTCTAGGGCACAGGCTAATTGCAGGTGACATAACCCTTCTTAGTACAAATAAGATACCTAATAATGATACAAATACTGTAAAATCACACACTTTTGATCCGTTTACCAAGATCATAAATGTAAATTTATTACAAATTACAACTTTATTCCAAAAGCATTTAATTGTTACACAGGCGTTCATGGATGGCTACCAAAGAGATTGGCACATGACCTTGTTTGGAATCGCACAATTAATATACATGGAGGCGCAGGCAGAAACATTGGGATGGACCTGGGAACTGAGTTTCTCAATAATGAATTCAAAGGTGATTATATAACACTAACAGAGGCTGATTAAGTGTGTAGATCTCAAGATGTAAAAAAACAAAAATTATTATATTAAAACAGCAAATTCACATAAAATATCTGTATTCTACATATGTGCATCTCGTTCATGTTTCTCACAACAAAATTTTGGATATATGTCAGTTTTCAGTACTAATGTATTTTATTTACATATTGCACATTGCTCTATACATACAGATACATTGAAGAATTCACGAGGCCGCTATACAGACAAGCAGGTAGCCAGAATGAGCCAGATGGTTGGTAGCTTGGGTCAAGCACTTGGTAATCTATATCAGCACAAAGTAGCCAATACACATGTTGCCACATCTCAAGGTGGGAAATCAAGTTATAAAGCTGATATAAAAAAATTTGTGAAAGAATATAAAGCAGATAAATTATTTGATGTGATACCGGGCAGACAGCATGCCGCATTTCCTGGATATCACCTAGATACCACAGTAAAAAGGCCACAAGCTTTCATCAAACGCTTAACAAAGTATACAACTAAGCTGGAAAATTATAGGGAAAATTTGCCTCAACAATAAAACAGTTAGAGGTAAGTATAAAATATAGTCATATTTTGAGAGAAAACAAAAATAATTCCATGCTGTATTTGGTCAATGTACAGTCACACTCTGTATTATCTGTAGAAAACTTTTCACTGACCCCTGTAAACTTAGATTGTGTACAATTCATGAGAATTGTTATCCAATAGACTAATATCATAAGGAGAGAACTTAAAAATTGGGTATTTGGTTTAATGATTACCGTTACACATCATAACCTTCAGTGCTGGTATAGCTGCAGTGCTTCGATTTTTCATGATTTGCGGCCAGACTAGGGGATTTTACAATTTTTTATAGTGATCACAATAATTAATGTACTGTAGAATACTTTATTTTAGCTTGGAATTTATTTTCGCTATTTTCGCTGAAGGGATGATTCCGTGAAAATAAAATCCTATATTTCACATTAAACTCATCAAAAATCAGTGAAAATAAATTCCAAGCAAAACGCCCAAAAAGCCTTTTCAGCGAAAATTAATTCCAGTGAAAATAAAGTATTCTACAGTATTCTGCATATAATACAAAGTGTGAATGCAACTTTATCTAATTTAACACTGCTTTTGTTGTTGATAAAAACAGGCTTTTCTCATAATAGCACCAATAAGACATGTTTCAGGTGACAGGTAATGCTCAAGTGTGAAATATTTGTCCTATCTAATGGCTATAAAATGCTTTACATAACAAACAATTCTACTACACTAGAAAATTCTTCACATCGAAGATTGATTTGGTAATTTAGTCCATTGTCAATAGACACCTGAAGATGCTACGGATCTACTTGATGATGTTCCAGTTGCTCATATGATAATACTTAACAAGTCAAAACACAATTTTGTTGACAACTTTAATTACAACTTTAATTATTTTATTTATAAAACTAACATGTGCTTCTAATATTGTACTATCATTTTCCCTTTCAAACAAAATCAGTGGTCATCTTGTTTATTTCAACGAGAAAATTGGTAACTTAAAGCATCTTGCATCTTTTCATATTTGACTTAAAATACATTTTTTTTGGCAATTGCTACAGCATGTAGAAAATTCACAAGTACAACTACCATCATTAATAGCCCCTACGCAGGGATCTCGCTGGGCCATCACATCTAATGAATGAAGGTCCATCCCACTTACCACGAGCTGTTTCAAAATACTGTGACGTATGCAGGCTCCTGAATTAAGGCTTTTACACAGTGACAGCATGTCATCACTAATACGTCTTTTATTTAGACTCACCTTGGTAGCATAGAGGTGTGCTTGACCAATTCTGCCATCTCTGGCACATCTGCCAACTTGCTGCCAGTAAGCTAGTACAGTTTTACTAGCACCCCAATGAATAATATGATCTACATCATTGATTTGAACTCCCATGCCAAAAGCAATTGTGGTAATTAAACATCGAATTATACTATCTGTTTGTGGAAAAACACTGACTATTTTTTTTTTCTGTATCGGCATCAATGGATGAGTGGAACATGTCAACAAGACGATTATCTATGATGTGGCTGTCACCAGACCAAGCTTTATCACCTAATTCAGTCATGACAAATTCGTAGATGTCTGCCACTTGTGTCATGGTCCTATGAGTAAAGAACCAAAGAGAACATGGAAAATTAGTATCAGACAAGCTATGAGTGTGTTTATAATTGTGTTTATAATCATTCATTAGCCGTATTTATGGATGCTTATGATTGTCCTATATTTTTACTGAATGTTAATCTGTGGTCTTATTTCCTGTTAAATAGGGGGGGGGGGGTTATTAAGTAATCATATATTTCATGTAATGCTAAATAGAGTGAAACTTAATGCTATTTTTTCTGAATAGTTATGGGGTTTCAATCAGCAGTAATATAATTTTTTAATAGATAAGGTGTCCCATGTTATTTTTCTGGATAGTTGAGTGTCACATTCAATGCTCAGTCAAATTTCAGGTAGCATTTTGTGATAATTACAGTGAAGCTAATCATATTACTGTCATTGTCCTTTCTCTTAAAAAGGCTATAAGCCATAAGGCTATGAATACTCAACAGTCAGGGACCTTGTGTGGTACATTATATTCTTTACCAAAATTGTTCATGGAAATAACTTAGTGAATAGTTTTGACCTTTTTGATAAAAATAATTTTGGCTTTTTATTGAAAATGGCTAGATAATGTGCTTTCAATAATTCAAACAGCTGTAGCTGATTCATAACAACCACCAGATTTACCCTTAATTTATAAAACCTTGGTGATATGTATGCTGGCCATGTCATGCAACTACTGTATTTTCTCTATTAGTACCACATCAACATGATTATAATGTAAATTCTATTAACCATTTATCACTGGTTTATGGCTGCATGGTTTTGATTGATTAGAAGCCGATCAGAGATTGTGTTGCAGGTTTTATTAAGGCACTGCAGGATGATTAGAGAAGACAAAAGGCATGTATACCATATATATCTGGTCAAAGTAGGTGATCTATAAAGTAACAAATACTAATTTTGGATTCTTTGCACTTCCAGTGTCAATGTGCATCTAATGGGAGCAATACGGTATCTAAAATCTATTTCATGACTTAAATTTCTATTAAAATGGAAAAAGGAAGGCTGACCTGCAGTATATTATAGCTTTTTTTGCCTTTGATCCAAAAGTAGCAATATGCTGTGTATACCAAAGAAGCTCTTCATGTATTTTCATACCTGATTGTGACTTATAATATAGCTTTATATTAGGCCTGAAAAACACATTGGAGAGAGTGGATTATTCATGTCATATTGGTGTCATATTAATTAACATGATCATAACTTGTGTTATAGGTTTTACAGCTTGGATGAATAATATTTGGGCCAACAGATCATTTTCCATATCAGCAACAGATAATTACAATGTGATTGGTGTCACTGTATTAAAGCATTGATTGTTCTCATAAAGTTGTATGATTAGAAAAGTTAATGTTGTCTGTAACATTTAACATTTATGTCTGTATGAATATTATGCTACAAATTTGACAATAATTTTCTGCATTGATGAAATGGCCAAAGTTATTCCAAATTCAAACACATGTAAATTCTCACCTGTCAGGAACAATGGCAACAGTCTTCACCTCCTCCTCATCCAACAGTAAAGTTGACAAAATATTCTGTCTCATAGACTCTGTTGCAGTTGCTGTCAAGACTAGTATTGGGCAAGTTGTAAGGCTACGAAGCACAGTAACTTGCTTGTAACTAGGCCTGAAATCATCACCCCTATTTATGAGAATTGAAAAGCGAATACAGTTCAGCCACATATTAGGAACCACAGTTGATTTATTTTATTGTTAATTTACTTATTAAAAATGTAAATCAACCAACTCACCATTCCACAATACAATGTGCCTCATCACATGCCAAAAGACATAATCTTTCTTTGTAATGGGCATTGCCCAACATTGTCCTCCAGGGATCTCGTACAATTGACTCCGGGGAGCAAAATACCACACTGTACTGTCCTTCAATGATATCTGTTTAAGAATTAATTTTGTTAAAGAAAATCCATTTAAAACAAACTTATGGCATTGTATATGTTGCTCATTTTATGTTCAGGAATTAAATTAATAAAGATAATGATTTGATAGTTCATATTAAGTTTGAAATAAAATATTAATTACTAGTTTTGAAAAGAACATAAATTGTAAATATTCAATTTATTGGAGATGGTACAAAGAATGTTTTTCTATTTACTTTTTATGTCTATGGATGACATTTCAGCCAGTTGCATTATACTGACAGCCTTCACTCCCCGCTCTCTCCATATTGTCATCTGATTGAGCATTAGACTCCTCAATGGGGAAATCACCAAACCGATGTGTGGATTTTTTTCTGGGTACATCTAATAAATTCAATAAAGAAGAATTATCCTTTGTTGATATTAAATATAATGTTACTATTATAAATTTCATGGATGTTTTTTATATGAAATGAAAAATGGTTGAAACAATCTGACCAATCACAACTCATTAAAGGATTTGGGAAGGTCAATCGGCCAATGATTGCAGGTAGCATGCAGAAGATTGTGGTTATTTTTATGTGTGTTACAAAATTGATCCTACAGCCATTTAAAGCCATGCATCTTCAATGGGTAACCATTCCATATTTTATAAATTCATTCCATGAAATTCACTGTATTAATCTCCTTGAAATTGACATGCCTTAATATATTATAATAATTATATATGAGAATTTAATTAAACAAAATCTTACCTCATCCACTAATAGCTGAGGTACAACAAAGCAGTCGCTTTTCCCAAAACCAGTTGGTAGAACACCAAATGTGTGCATATTTTCAAGAGCAACACTATTAAAAATAATTTTTTGCTCTTCTTTAAATTCATAATTGAATTTATATTTGCTTTTTACCAGGTTAAGGTTATCCATGGTGAAAAAACGAAAGTAAAATTGAAAGTGCTTGTTGGCCAGAGGGATGCTGGGAAAATTGTAATTTTTTAATTTTTTTTTATTAAATAAAGTAAATTCTTAAGGCAATTTATTTATTTATATATTTATATGTTTATTATTATAAAAGTTGCATGAAATTGGCTGATACAATAATTTTCCGAAGAAAAAAAAATCTACGCACATGCGTTTGATAAGTTGATGCTCTTTTGTTTCAACGGGATTTGGCGCAAAGGCTTGTTGGTAATCTCGAAGAACAAGATGGCGGCGTACATTTTCTGTTGATAGATAGAGTTTCGTTGGAAAATTTCGGTTTGATCGACACTTGCAGGAAATCGTCTGTAATTTCGCTTTCAGATGAGGTATTTGTAATAGTTTGACGTATCGGCCTACTTATTTTTTGGTTGCAAAGCTAAATACCTCTTAAATCGCCCAAAACAGCCCTTCACATAGTGTCGAATCCCCGGTCTATGCGACTTCTCAGGACTGTGGGGACCGAATGATCAGCGGAAGAAGGCCAACCTACAGGACTGTACTCAGGGCTAGAGGGAATGTAACAAGACTGTCATCTAGGGGGGTACTGTATAGCCCTGCGTACAGTGCTGTGTGTACGGGGACGCGTTCGGTTGATAGATTTTCCCACCACAGACCTGCGTACCTCCATAGACAAAGTCCGGGAGCGCACCGTAATTGGTGCGCAAGTTAAAAATAAGTAGTTTCCCAGCCGAAATCGGTTGAAATGACGATAGTTATCCGTAACAACCATTATAAAGTTATCTGAAACTGAAATGTCTTTAAAAAAACGACTAGTAAAGACGGACAAATTGTAAACGCGTATGTACCGGAGGAATTATCCACCAA